GCTGATAATTTTCATTAAAAAAAGGTATACACTACTTCTACTAGCCTGCTATTCAACAGTTTCAAATGTGGAGATTTGACCTTTCAAAACAACAAGGAATTACTTACAAAGGAGCTAAGTCTCTAAAACAGAAAAGAGGACGTCTCTGTTTGATTCAAAGGATACTACAAGGCATAAAAAGTGACTTGTTCATTGATATAGAGGCGTTGTTATGGAAACCTGTTTGGCATAAATGGAAAGCTAGAATAAGATTTAAGAGTGTGACTTAAGGCTTTATGTAATGGGTTTAAAAGGCTTATTAGATATGGATTGAGACAGTTAAATAAGATGTTAGATTGAATAAAATTTAATTAAAGATTGGAACATAATAATAAGTTGTTTGTCTATGTATTAATATGTTTTGGATATAGTAATTTTGGGAGGAGGTTAAAGAAATTTGATACAGATATTGAGGGGTTGATTGTTAGATTATAAAGTGAAATGATATTAATAAATATTTATTGAATATGTTAAGGAAAAAGGTAATGGGGAGACTCCCGAAGGGTTAATTATGTATTTAGATTAGAAATATGGAATATAGTAATTGAAATAGCTAAGCTTAATACAGGATTTGGATTTGTGGATTTATTTGGATGAAAGGTTATTGAGGATTGTTATGATTGATTTAGTTGTTTTGAAATATATCAATTTGAATATAATATGTCATTAGAGGGAAAAGAGAGGGATTGTTTAATGATTTAATCTGAATTTTATGAGTATGACTCTGTTTTGTGGACAATTGATTGCCCTGCCACCACGTTGTTTCTTAAGCACTTGTTTGTAAAATGAAAAAACCAATAAAACTTGTTTTAAAATATATATATATATTTCTTCTCTTTTTCCCTTAATATTTGCTGTCTAGTATTCAAGCTAGTACAATTCTTATTATATCAACTCAATAAAAACATCATTATTACATTTATCAATAATTTTTTAGCTTATACATATCTTAATTACATTCAATCTTCATAGACAATCCTTATCCTGTTATTAATTTTTACCCAATTTTTAATTTCTCATCAATATTCCAATTTAAACTTTGATATTTATAATTTTCAAGCCTTGGGTAACCAACATTTTCCTTATCTCAATTAATAACAAAATCTAATATCCAAAATACACATTTTATCTATTGGAATATAATTTTGTTCTATTTCCTAAAAGTTATCTATTTCCCACCATATTAAATCTTCCAGTTAATAATACAATATCCCCTTTAATAAATCAAAACCATTATATATATTACCTGGGTTAATAAATCAAACATATTCATAATAATTAATTTTCTTTTTCCTTTTAGGTCTAATTTTTAAATATTAAACAGATAGAGTTCTTATTTTCAACTAATTTCCAAGTAGTTTAAATCTAATGATCAGAATTCCCATTATCTCAACTTCTCCCTTTAACCTTCTAATTAATAATGTGAAATCCCCCCTAATCAGTTAAAACCCCAATTTTCTTCAACCTTATTCTGGCTTTCTTCCTTTGCCAACTAGGCTTTCTTACCAATGCTTTTAGATCGTCAAATAGATCTCCCTCTATTATTATATATGTTGAAATAAAGGAGACCATTTAATTGCCATTTCTTTGGAACGACTAGCCCAGGGGTGTCAAACTCAATTTCATTGAGGGCCGCATCAGCATTGCAGTTGCCCTCAGGGGGCTGGGTGGGTGTGTCAAGGTGGATGCGGCCTACTCGGTGGGCATGGATGGAGTGGGTGTGGCCAGCTCTACATCACTCGCGTGAAGAGTGCCTGTGGGGACCTGGGCAGGAGTGGGACAGATCTGAGAGTCTCTGGCAGAAAGGGGTGGGACCAGGGCAGAGCCTATCAAGCCAGATATGTGAAGTAGGCGAGGGCCATTTGCTGGCCACTTCCAGGCGATGGTGCATTTCTTCATTCCTCACAAAGGGTGACACATCCCCAGCATGCACCCAGGGGGTGGGGCCAACGTGGCAGGGGCTGATTCCTCGTTGTTTCCAGATGGACTTGTGGAGCTAAGATTAAATGCATTTCAGCATAGATGGCCACCACGAAATTGGACATTGGCTCCTGTCCGCATCCGGCCCCCGGGCCTTGTGTTTGACCTGTCTGGACTAGCCCATTTGTAGATGTTAGGTTGTCTCCCTGTTATTCCAATTCCCCATGCTTGGCCTGATATGTTTGTCTTCCATTCAATCTGTTCTTCTTCTTTTTCAAATTTCTTCTGGTTTATATAGAAAGTCATTTCCATTTTCAGTGTTGTCACTTCCTTTTCTGGATTTTCCATCAGCTGCACTTGTTGGTCAATTGCGTCCTCTGTCTTAATATTTGAATGTCCTACTTCTTCTGTTATCTTCTGCATTGTAGATTCTTTAGTTGTAGTCAAAGTTTGGGTTTGTGTATTTAAGCTGGCGTCTTGATCTTTTATGTTAAATCTTATTTTATCACAAGCTAAAACTATCCTTTTTCTGTGTTTTGTTCTGGATAGATGAGGGAAGGCGAGAGTCAGTAACATAGCTTGGGAGAAGCAATGGAGCTTATACTCAGTACAGATAAATATCCTAAATTTAAAAGGTTTTCTGAATTCCTTCTAGTCCTTTTATCATCAATGGTTATAGAACAGGTGTCAAACTGCTGGCCCACAGGCTGGATGCGTCATATGGAAGCTGCGCCCATCCCATTGCCAGCAATGGCAAAACTGTCCTGATACGTTGCGTGACGTCACGTGACATCGCAAGTTTGACATGTCTGCTATAGAAAGTAGCTATATTTTGTTCTGTGTAGCTACAAATGCAAAATGTTGCACTTGTGTGTGTGTGCGTATGTGTGTGTGCGTGCGCACATGTGCACTCTTAGGTAGTAATCAGGATTGGTCCATATTTATTTATGTGTGGTCTCTCTCTGTATTCCTGTTCTGCCCTCACGTTGTGTCTGTTATTTAGCTGTATACATATATAGTGGGAAGCATTGGGTAGACTGCTACATTATCATCATCATCATTATCATGATTTACATTCATTCAAAAACGCAATGCAAGAAACATAGTGCTTATTTCACACATACTCTCTTCCACAACAACCCCATGTGGTAAGCTGGGCTGAGAGAAAGACTAGGTGAATAGCTGTTGTCATTTAGGGTGCACTGAAACCTTGGCCTCCCCACTGCTCATCAAACACTGTCCACTGTTTCTATTAGGGAATCCCATTATCAGAAGGATTCCCAGTGGAAGCTAGGCTTAGATTCAGCTGCTGCCTGGTTCTGCCCCAAATCTGAACTTAGTCTTTTTTTTCTCTGCACATTTAAACTTAGTCTTTTTTTTTCTGTGAATGGGTAGCAATAGCACTTAGCACTTAAACCACGGGTCAGCAACCCGTGGCTCCAGAGCCACATGTGGCTCTTTGAGCCTTCTCCTGCGGCTCCCAGCCTCCTCTGCCATTTGCAAAGAGAGAGAGACAGAAACAGAGAAAGGCACTTGTGCTTCCCTTCTCTTTCTCTCTCCCTCCCTCTCTCTCTCTCTCTCTCTCTCTGTAAAAAAGAGAGTGGCCTCATGTTGTTCTTCGACAAGCTTATTGGACGGGGCTCCTGCCTTGGCTGCATCTCTGCAGGAAGCAAGAAGGGCAGGAGAGAGCCAGCCCAATAAGAATGTGTGTCAGCTTGTTGGAGAACAGCTTGAAGCCAGCTTGCCAGTTGAGCAGAAGATGGGAGAGAGGGAGAGAGAGGGGGGAGAGAGAGAAAGAGAGAGAGAGAGGGATAGAGAGAGAGAGAGGGAGGGAGAAAGAGAGGTAGAGGGAGAGAGAGAAGGAGAGAGAGGAAAGAGAGAAAGGGAGAGGGAGAGAAAAAGAGAGGAAAGAGGGGAGAAGAGAGAGAGAAAGGGAGAGAGGAAAGAGAACGAGGGAGAGAAAGAGAGGAAAGAGAAAGAACTCATGCACAGCAGCTTCTATTTCTTTTTAATTAAACTCTTCAATCAAGCTTCCCCCCTCACGTGCACATGCACGCATGCACACACAAGTTTTGCAGCTCCCAGTGTTTTCTTTTCTCTGGGAAACAGGTCCAAGTGGCTCTTTGAGTGTTTAAGATTGCAGACCTCTGACTTAGACCTATATATCACTTCATAGTGTTTTTCAGCACTCTCTGTTGCTCCCAACAATTTGGGTCCTCATTTTTCTGATCTCAGAAGGATGGAAGGCTGAGTCAACCTTGAACTGATGACAATAGAACTCCTTTTGGCAATATTGCATTCTAACCATAGAGCCACCATGGCTGCTGACCAAGTAATCCAAAAGAAGAAAACTGATTACAGTTGTGGCTATAATCACATCTGGGGCAAAAGACTGAGAGCAGCATACATTTTGCACACTGTGCTATTAAATGCTGGGCTGAGGAGGGACCAGGGATGAATGGCATCAAGGGTTTGTTGAAGGAAAAAATTGTTTAAGGAAAAGTCTTCATCATGGTTCAGTCCAAGCCGGGAATAAACAACATGGCAACTGCTTTAGAAAGAAGATTGCAGTTTATTGAAGAAGAGAGCTAGACAGAACAATGGCTCTGGAAGAAAAAGAGAGAGCACATGCAGGGAGTAGGTTTTCATACCCTCTGGAGCTCTTAAGAGGTTATTTCCTGTTCCTGTTTGAGGCTTTGTATTTCCTATGTCATGTATTTTGACTTGTGTCCTTTTGGCATCTATAGGTTAATCCTATTGTGTCCCGTCTTAGAATTTGGGTAGGGTATGTAGATTTTAGGTGTCTTTGTCTTCTTAATCTTCTAGCGGGAGGCCCCCAACCTTCCTGGATTATTTACATTTGCATTTCTACAGAGCTGGTTTCTGCTTGGAGGAAGAAGACTTGGGGATATTAAGAAAACTGGGCATACTTTTCTGTCTCTTTAAGATCCTTTGAGGAAATACATTTTTCTGCCCTTTTAATATTTCCTTCTCTAGGGGGCTGACTTCCCACAGATTGTATGGAGGTTGTCGTGGTAGGAAAAACGAATTTAAAACTGAAGTGGAAGCTCTACAGTAGAAAAAATCGGTGAATGGAAATGGCCTTTGGGGTGGCAGAAAGGATGTTCCATACATCAGAGATGAAGCAAGGGATAAGAATTGTCTTCCCAATGAAAAGCCCCGCGCCAGCCGTTTCATTTGAGGGGTGGGGTGCAGGGAGATCCTACAGTGACGAAATCAGGGAAACTCCTTCATGTTAGGCAGCGAGAGGGGAATCCTGGGCGGCGATTGAGAGGGAGCAAACTGCTGCCTGGACGGTGATCCAGTGGAATTAGCGATTCAGAGAAGCTGCCCATTGGCTGCTGAGAGCGAAGTGGGGGGGGGGGTCGCCCTGGCTGAGAGTTTAATCCAAAGGGAAGGAAAACTGGGAATTATTGCCGCCGCTGCCGCCGTTTTTGACGCTCTATGCTCTTCGCCCCCACGCGCGCATTCGCCTCGTATCTCAACGGCGACCGCCTCGCCTCCACCCTCTCTCCGCCACTCCCTTTTCTCGCGGCCAGCCTTGCTCGCGCTTCCTAAATGGAAACCGACAGCCGTCGCCGTAGCAGCGCCATGCAATCTCGTTCCCCTCCTCGGACATTCCTCTAAGTCCGTGCCATGCTGCTGCCCTTTCTCCCGGCACTGTTGGCCGTTTTAGCGTCATCCTTTCCCTGCCGAGGCTGGTCTCCCTCGGCTTCTTCAGAATCCGGACGAAAGGAGCCGCCAGGACTCACCCTGCCGCCTCTCAACTCCTCTTCCTCTCCCAAGTCCTTTGTAAATGGGGGCGCGTTTCCGACCAAGATCGAGGAAGGGCTAGGAGAGGCCACCGCGGCGGCGGCGGCTGCAGCTACCCCTTCACCTGGGTCACCTCGCTCCGCGCCCCAGCAGCAACAGCCCCGCGAGGAGCCGGCATGCAACATCAGCGTGCAGAGACAGATGCTAAGCTCATTGCTGGTGCGTTGGAGCCCGCTGGGCTTCCAGTGTGACCTCGTGCTCTTTTCCACGAGTGGCCCCGGCAGGCGCGCCTTTTTCTCGGCCGCCTTTCACCGCGTCGGGCCGCCGTTGCTTATTGAGCATATCGGACTGGCAGCTGGTGGCGTCCAGCAAGACCTCCGCCTATGCGTGGGCTGCAGCTGGGCGCGAGGTAGGCGCGTCGGTCGGCTTCGTCCGGGCGCCTCCAACCCAGCCGCGTCGTCTCCTCCTTCGGCTGCCCTCTACTCCTGGTCCACTCCGGACCATGGACAGCCTTGGCAGCAAGGGGAACGCCTCCACTTCTGCTGTCTGGATTTCAGCTTGGAGGATCTCAAGGGGGATCCCGGTTGGAGGATGAACCGCAAGCCCATCGAGTCCACCCTGGTGGCCTGTTTCATGACTCTGGTCATCATTGTGTGGAGCGTGGCCGCCCTCATCTGGCCGGTGCCCATCATCGCCGGCTTTTTGCCCAACGGCATGGAGCAGCGGAGGAGTGCCCCCACCTCGACATCTGGAACAACTGCAGCAAAATGACCGCCTTCCTCCTGCATCTGGTCCGATGTGACCCGGGTTGTATCGTTGTGGGGCTCTGGATTGGGAATGTTGCTATAAAAAATTGATTTTTTTTAATGTTAAAAGGAATCTATTTTGTAAAATTTTACGTTAAAGCCATCTTCTTAATGTTGGATATAGAAGACTGGAGTTAGGTAGAAATTTTCAAACTGGATTGATTTCTTGCCAGTAATTCTTTTGAAAAGCAACCTATACCTGCTTCTAGTTAGTTTACGTATGAGAGTTTATAGGTACATTTATAATGTGCTCAAATTCATATCTGATAAAATTACCAGAACCTGTGTATTTGCTTAAATATATTTAAAAAGAAACTCTTCTAAGTCAATATTTTAGTAGCAATGCACACAGAAGTCCAGTACACTTTGCAGTAGTTGTAAGTTATTTGTATATAAATACAAATTTGTCTTTGCAAATGTAAATTTACTAAAAAAAACTTTTTGACAGGACTTAAATTTGCTAACACAATATTTGGTGGGTCTGAATTTTAGTCTCTCTCTCTCTCTCTCTCTCTCTCTCTCTCTCTCTCTCTCTCTCTCTGTGTGTGTGTGTGTGTGTGTGTGTCTGTGTGTGTGTGTGTCTGTGTGGGGTGTGTGTGTGGGGTGTGGGGTGATTGGTTCTTATTAGAGATACTGTCTGATTTCTTGTGTAAATCTGTTCAAACTTTAATATAGATTTTCTTTGCTGAAGTGTCCAGAATTTGCATGGTATTTTTCTATCAAAGTGATTTTGTAAGTACAAATCAAATAGAGGAAGAAACAGAGCATTAGGGCCTCCCTTTATCCTCAACTTTCAATATAAAACACACTGTGAAATGATGGATAATCATTCCTTTATTTTTCTGATTTGGTAAGTCAAAAGTTGAAAAGATTGATAAAACTGCCTTCTCCAACTTAAATATGGCAAAGAATTCAACAGTTGTAGCATATCTAGGGGATGCTACATGGATAAGACTGTCTAATTTCTGGTGTGATATCTTGTTTTATCTCCCTTTTCCTAGTAACAAGAAAACTACCATTAATAGGTTGCCGATGCGGAGTACATTGTGTGCAGAATTCTTGGTTGTATGTAATTTATAATAAGCATATCTAGCCTAAAGTCCCCTACCCCATTTATTAAAAACCTCTTTGAGACAATTGCCAACTAAATGTACATTCAAGTAAGATTCTTCTAATTCAGAATGTCGATTCTGTTAAATTTGAAAAAATAGGGTTCAACCTGGATAAATTGAAAAAAAAGTCATACATTTTGTAATTTAAGTTTTAGCAATAACTTAAATACAGCAATTATTTGTATATTTTAAATAATTTATAGGCCTTATATTTTTAATGTTTTCCTGCACATTATTATGAAATTGTTCAAAACAATAATCCATTTTTTTCTAATTGCTTCTCAGTCAAACCAGAGAAAATTATGGAGAGAAGTGTGCAAATATATTTTTTCATATTACGATTTGCATCATAATATTCATATGACATTGGACTCTCAAGAGGAAAAAATGAAAGAACAATTTTGTCAGTTTAGATACTCTTAAAAATATGTATTTAGCCTGAGATATACTCCTAATTAATCAGATTATAATATTCAACGTCCACTGTGAACTGTATATATTCCTTCATCATAAGTAGCAGAAGACAGACAAATTCAGCAAATAAACTGAAACAAATTTACATTAGAGTGTAAGGAAATTAAACCTTGTAATTTACTGGGGCTAAGTTTGAGTTTTCATGGAATGGCATTTTATAGCATATTTTTCTCTGTGGAGTAAAACAAGCAGCTGGATGGTATGTTTAAGATTTCATTTGGTCTTATGAGATTTCAGTAGAAATGTTTTAAAGATTCAGTTGTAAGACTTTAATTTTAATTATATTTGTAAAATAAACACTATATAATATAACAACAGTTATTTCTAAATATTTACAGCATCAGGTTGCATGCAAGTTAACTTTTTTTTTTTTGGAAGTTGAATATTATTCGATTTACAAAATGGTGGTTTTGCCTTATTTTTCTGGCAACATCTACAAGAAAATGCAGTTGGCTTTATTGGCAACTTCAAGGTAGTTTATAATTTCCACAAGTTTGCTTAACTGCAAGCAAGATTTTTTTTTCAACACAAATACTTGTGTGGAAGTCTTCAATATGATGATTTTTAGTTTGTGCTCATTTGAGGCATTTTCACATAAAGAGTTATTGTGAAATGGATTTTAGCTTATGATCGTTACTTCCATCATTATGTGTATTCAGAAATCAAATTTTAAGATATAACAATTCTTCAATTACTCTGTTTATTTTAGAATTGAACTGATCTTCACCAATTCAACATTATTTTTCCTTTGTGATTTCATAGAGGCTATTTTATTTCTGATCAAGTTTTTTATATTTTTATATATTGTATTTTGTTTTAATACCAAATTAATTAAGTATACACATTCACAAGTATATAAACAATATAAAACATAATGTAGCACTGAAATAATTTAAAAAGGAAAAAGAGCTTAAAGAAATATAGAAAGCAGAACAATTCTAAAACATTTTTCCATACTATTTAAAAATGTAAAATACCTAATTCAAATGTAAAATACTGACAAACTGCCCTTTGCTGCAGATCAGGATATAAATATCTTCCGCTGTTATATAATGATTGTTCTGATCATTTTCCAAAGCTAATCCACATTGGTAAATTAAGGAAAATGAACTTATGAACTTCCTCATTTAAAAAATGAATAGTGTCCACACTAGTGTCTTAAGAGCATTTTTTACAGTGATCCAAATATTTTGCTGATACAATTAATAGCAAGTTTTTCACAGTGTTGGCTGGGTGATGCTAGAAAATGCTATGAACCACTTGAGAGTAAATGGCCATAAATACAGCATTTTAGTTTATACAGCATTTTAGTTTACTGCATGGATAACTTTTAGGACTTGATGCAATACAGATTACATTAAAACTACACTAATAAATACTTTTGTTTTTTTTACTGCAGATAGTCAAAAATTGAAGACAAACAGGCAGTGAGCATTGCCACATTTTTGGTTGAGCGAAACTAAAGCAAAATAGAAAATGGCGGAAGCAGATAAAATATGGGATAAAAATAGGGTGCATGAAATAGAACATCAAAAAAGCTCTTAACAGATGGGACAAAAAATAATTTAAAAATTCCAGCGAGTCTTTATAGATAGATCTACAAGCCTGATTTAGTATCAGAAGTAATAAAAAGTGACAGCAGGTGAAGAGACACAGCTGAGTATACCCAAAACTAATATAGGTGAGATACACTTCCAAATAATCCAATTTAATTGTCATCTAGAAAAAGGAACTAATATTTCACAAGAGTGTGTAAAGTTTCAATTAATATATATTTGAACATAGCTTGGTATAGCTAAACAGAAAACTCATGGATAGTTTGTTAACTTAGTTCTGCAAAAGGGATGAAAAGTGAAACTTGTAATTTTGTTAGTAAAGTTATGGTAGTATTAATTATAGTTATGAGGGTTACTAAAATTAATGCAAATAATGTGCTAGCATAACTGCAAATCACTCAGGACCTGAACAGTTAATTTAATTTACAGTTAATTTAAGTTTATGACAAAGTTAAGTTCTATCAGCTAATATCTGATTCATTTAAAATTTTCTTGGTCTTTGAATTTACATTTTGTTTTCCTTTGTAATCAATATTTACAAATATCATGTAAATTGCATGAAAAACACATTCTGAATGAAAATAGATGCTTATTTTCTGATTTTAATTAAACTTGTTTTACTGCAGGTAAATACTCACTTTGCAAAAATCTAGAAGGCAAGATGATGATATCCAATTTTTGGATGATACTTGATCCTTCAGTGAAAGAATCAGTTTTCAGACAAACAAAACATTTTTAAAAACCCATGGAAAATGGGCAGAAAAAAATGCCAATACCAGTAAGTAAATATTGAAACAAAAAATAAATAAAAATAGAAAATACAGAATGAGTTGTGTTAAAATATGTTCCTTATGGAAAAGCAACTGGTTATATTTTTTAAAAAAACACACAATAATTTAGAGCAATGAAAAATACTACCGGTACCTAATATTAAAATCTAAGGTCACTAGTGAAATCACTCAGCATTCAGTTTATTTCAGATAAGAAATCTCACAGTACATTGCTTAAGAAAGGTATTGTTCCAGAATGTGATCCCTTGTCTTTAGATTTAGAACATTACCTAACAATTGGTTCTACAGTATGTTTACCAACCATTTTCAGATAAATGTAAGACTTTCTTTAAGACAAGATTGACTCCTGGTGACTACTAAAGGTCATCCATACTGTTTTCCTGGCAACAGTACAGAAATGGTTCCTCCAGAAATGGTTCCTTTTTACCTTACCAGTCAGGTAAGAGCCCTGGGATCACATAGCAGACTCCCAGCTAAGTAATATATTTTTTGGGGGAGAGGCATTAGTGTAAGTCAAAGAGGTATTGCCCTACACTGTGAACATTATTAGCTACGATAATTAAGCAGAGCTCTCTGTTCAGTACATCAGTCACTAAGGGATGTACATTGGAAAGTTTGTTGTTTCATAGATTGTGAAAATAGGATACGGGTATAAAAGGGAATACTGTACTAAATGGTTTTATCGGTTGAATATCACTGCTGTCCTTCCACTATTTAGAACTCTGTTCTAAATCAGATGTCCTGATGTTACTTGGGAAGTCACAGCCTAACTGCTGGTATCAGGTTAGGGAAGGCTGTTTTAGAAATAGAGGTTAGCATTTGTTACTGAAATTATTTAGGCTTTTTACAGTGTTTTGAAGCTATTTCAAATTAGAAGTTACCACATTCTACAAAGCCATATATACAAGGAATCTGGATTTAGATTATCTTAAATGATAATAGAGTAGTTATTTAACTGTCTTGAAGAATACTTTTCTGTGACTCAGTTTTAATGTCAGCATGATCTTTTTTCTTCTAGATAACAGTTGGATGTAATTCCTGCTTTGTTAAGTGCTTATTGAACCATACCTGTCAAATTACACATATTTTGATAGATTTCCCTCTGTAAAGACAAATTACATTTTATTCAGTGCAAAGCAAGGGTTTCCTGGAAAAAACTGCATTTCAGGTTATTGAAGAACTTTTGGAGATTGCTGGGCAATGTGAAGATGGAGACACAAAGGATGCTAAAAGCACATCCTGAACTGCCATATTTCATCTTTTAAAAGGAATATAGATTTAGAGAGAAAAGACATAAAAAAAAGATTGTGAGAAGAGCAGAAAGCACTTTGAGATAACTTTTATGGCCAATTGAGTATTTCTTCAATGCATGAGCTACATACCACTGAAGCTGCTTTAGATTTTACCAACTCTAAATTTTCACCAAGGATCAGAATGGCAAACATTCATCTTTGATTACCACTAAAGACTGCAGATGGGAGAGATATAGATGGAAATCTTATGTTTCATTTGTATCTAACTTTTGGGGGATACATAAAACCTTTTTCTTCTAAGTAGATCCAAAATAGGGATGCCATATGAAAAGCAGGCTGAGCCA